GTGCTAGAAAACGCTCTCACCACTATTGCAGTGTTTGGAGAACTTCTTACCTCTTTTACACAAAGTTGTACTCAAAGAATAAACATTAATTGACTTTTCGTTTGTGTAGAGGAAGGCAAAGGTTACCATGGTGGGGTGGGGAAAGGGCTTCAAGCCCAAGCAGTAAAGTACCTCATTCCAGAAGAGTATAGCTTAGAACACTATGTAGTAGTCGCTAGGTCATTGTGACTATTTTTCTGCAAATAATGAATCCTTTTTAGCATCCTGAGAGAAAAGCCCCAACACATAAGTCTTATGAATACAGTCTCACTTTATAAATGTTTTTTTTTTTTTCCCATATTGATGAAAGAAACTATCTTTTATATTTGGGTCAGCACTCACATGGTTTAGTCCTCAGCTGTGGCACACAAACGTGCTATGCAATAGTATAGTTACATTTTTAAAAGTTACCTTCAATCCCTTTTTACACGGTTCTGAGGGCAGCTTTTGATATAATTTTTTTTATAGTTTGACTCTACTCCCAGGTGACACTTTCAGACACATCAGTCTGATAGAAGTTTGCAATAAATAGAAAGTAAAATATGAAAGGACTCGCGTGATTAGGTCATGTTAAGTCCAAAACAAAGTCAGTGTTTTCTATTGATTTCATTGCTGTGTTTAATAAAACGATAGCTCAGCATGTAAAATGGTTTGGGTTTTTGTGCTTCTGTTTGCCTTGATGTTTGTGGAAAAATGGAAGCATCTTGCTATTCAAATTGTGCTTGGTCAAATATGCAGTATAATGAAGCACCCTGTTCCATACTGTTGCATTCTGATGCGCCCCGATGGAGTATTGTTCTGATGCAAGTTTAAGCTTCTTGTGGGCTTGCAAAATATCAGTCAAAATGTATTTCAGAAATTATTTTGCTGACAGTAACATAACTAACAGTTTATACTAACAAAAAAACCCCTCTTAGTTTGAAACCTGTATTGTTCTTTAGCATTCTTAGAAGACTTAATTTTGCATTTAACAAAGTTAGTGAAGTAGTATGAACAATTTAGCCTGTTTGAATAAATGTGAACTTTCCCAGTGCAGGTGAAGAGTCAAATAGGTTAAAAACTACTACTACTCGTATTTAGGAGGATCATGACTGCCATAACCATTACAAAGACAATAAAAAGTATTAATTCAAAAAGTTTGTTTATGTATAAGGTACAAATAGTAAAACCAGTTTCAAATACCATCAAGGTGAAGGTGACTATATGAACTTTTCCGTAGTTCTTCAAGGCTGACTATAATCCTAGTAGAAATTTAGTTGTAGTACCATAGCTTTACTTGATACAACCGATTTTTCTTGTACCTATTTAAAACCCCCACTAACTACAGATCTTTTGATTTTAGCTGTTATTAATTGCTTGGAGTTTGTTGAGAAACTATAATGGTTAACCTGTTGTGCTGTAGACGGTACTTAAAATATATACAAAATCACTTTTACTTAACTGTGTAATCCCAGTATAAACAAAGCCTCAAGTGTTCCTACCTACAAGCATCATTGTATTAGTGGTAACAAATATATTTAACCTCACAGAGTGAGGTATATTCTGCTGTGAAGGACCTCCTGTTTAGGTTGCTAGGTTCAGCAAGTTCATAAATGTTACTTCAATGCATGTTCTGAAGTAATAATTCTCAGCTTAACTTTCTTTCCTGCTTATGCTTTTCATTTTGGTCCTTACCTCAGTTTTCTCATTCTCTGATCTGTTTGAGTAATTCCCCTAATATTTAAAAATTTAAGTGTGGTGCTGTCTCCATTAAATTGTGCTCCAAATCCTTAACTGTTTTGTGCCATCATGAAAATGTAAACCTAGCTTGAGAATTCATGCTAGCAAGGCATAAGTTTGTTTTAACTTTGAGCATGTTGGCCAACCAACAGATAGATTTGGTCCCAAGACCCACTTTACAGAGGGATAGACAGACAATTTTGTTTGTTCTTTTGGATTAGCTACACGTCCTGACCTTTCATTGAGGACTTCAGCGTTTGTTGAAGTTATTGTTGTAGCGTGCTGACAAAATCAGCTGATGTTGACTCTTCTGCATGAGTAGATCTGCTGTACTTTGTCCAAGAATTGGAACAAATTCCTGTTAACCTGATAAGGAATAAAAGATTAGCACCTTAAAATCAGAAGAGGAGTTATCAATATGAAACATTTTCACATGAAGCATAGGTCAAATGGGTAGAGGCATTAATTCCTCAGTACTGTCTTGAGTTTAGTGAGACACTGACATTATTAAATAAACCTGCAGTTTTAGTAATGTTAAATACAATTGTCAATTAAGGGTCATTTAAGGTGTCTTAACGACTTGCTTAAAAAACAATCTGTGCTGAAATCCTTACGTGTAATACCGAGGATTTCTCTTCAGCCACGCTAAGCTTAGCGAGCATCTGGGTGCGAGATAAAGCACTTGCCACTTTCAGTAAACACAGACAAGCACGCAGTCAGAACAGCCATGTGCTTACAGTAATTTAGCTGAGCTTGGTTGGAGCTGACCACAGGATTCACAATTTATGGATGGAATTCAGGTGTAATTTTATGTTGGGGTGAGGGACCCTGATTAATGCAGTGTCTGTGTTGGGCAAACTGAACTGCCTCTCTTCTGCAGCATGTGTTTTGTTGTACTCTTGCCTGAAGCCAATGAACCGTATCAGTGATTTTTATTTAAATTGCTATGTGGTGTTTTTATAACTGGTGCCATGCTGTTTTGGAAGTCATTTACAACAGTACACTGATGATGATGAGAGTTTTCTGAAATTGTTTAATTTGATTTCACGATGAAGTTAGTCACTTAAGTCAGGTTTGAATCTCCTATTGCTCCAACAGGAGGGGATCTTATAACTATCAGAACAGGAATGTATTTCTAAAGCCTGAAAAAGTAAGCAGTAACTTACAGTTGTTAACATGACTGATTTCACTATTCTAATAGTAATCTGTAGAGTGTGTCTTACGTCCAGGTAGTATCCTGTAGAGGCAGGAGTTTTGGTGCTAATAAATAGTAGGGGTTGCTAATCACATTTTTAAGCACCCTATCTGTGAGTTTAGGAATGATAGAAGTAGTATCTTTATCATGGAACTGTTTGAAGTATTTTGCAGCTTGCTCCAGTTCTCAGTATTTACAGTTTTCATACACTACAGATAGATAGCTCATGAAATAAAGTAGACCTAATCACAACAAGCAGGAATTTCAATGATCTAGTAACTGTTTAAGTGATCTCAAAGGCTGCTTCTGAAAAATTTGGGCCTTCAGGAAGGCAAAAGTGAGATTCAGAAGTGGAAGCTTCAAGGAAGATAAAAGATGCACATTGCTGCAATACTAACAATCAAGGCAAGAAAAGTTCTGGAGAAAAAAATCACCTGCACATTTGTTATAAACATCTGTTCTGTAATTATTTTTATCAAGTCACCAACCTTTTAAAGACAAATCTAATAAAGTACTTAAAGTTCTTTAGACAAAGATACTGGTTTGAAATTGCTTTCTTCAAGTATTTTGACATAGCTGATACATAGCTGTGAATATACAGCCAGTAACATCCCCTGGCTATTAATAGTTTCTTAGATGTTTCCTTCTTACTGGTGTGACCAGAACTGCTTAGTCTTGAATAATTCTGTTCAGTAGGAAGGCACTAGTTACTCAGTGTGTCAGAGGATACTGTTCTGGCTGCTGTACTTCAAAACATAACCAAGAAGGTCACAAAGGGATTCTAATATTCATTCAGGCACTAGAAAAGTGGGAAGCTGGACCCATGTCTTCAGGATGGAGCCCTGATGACCATTCTGTAGGCTATTTTTGGACGTTGAGAAATCTGATCTTTCTGTTGAAGGTGCCTGTTGTAACAGAGAATTTAGAGAATTTACATATGGAAAAAACATGT